TGAAAAATTAAATAACATGTGTTGAGCATTTATGCATGTGACATACACAGCTGATATCAGGTGGGCATATCACACTTGTCTGCTGATATCAGGTGGGCATGTCACACTTGTCTGCTGATATCAGGTGGGCATGTCACACTTGTCTGCTGATATCAGGTGGGCATGTCACACTTGTCTGCTGATATCAGGTGGGCATGTCACACTTGTCTGCTGATATCAGGTGGGCATGTCACACTTGTCTGCTGATATCAGGTGGGCATGTCACACTTGTCTGCTGATATCCGGTGGGCATGTCACACTTGTCTGCTGATATCCGGTGGGCATGTCACACTTGTCTGCTGATATCCGGTGGGCATGTCACACTTGTCTGCTGATATCCACTGGGCATGTCACACTTGTCTGCTGATATCAGGTGGGCATGTCACACTTGTCTGCTTTTATTATTACCTTTTTCAGTCTTGTGCATTCAGCTTTCATATTGTGATGTTCATATTGCAAGTCTTCAATATCGTCTTCATCCATCTCACCAGTGTTGCTCACTTTCACTTTTTTAAGATCCACTTTAGAAAGTTTATTTTCAAGTCTGAAAAAAAAAACTTGTCTATCAGTGTTGGTGCATTTAGTAAATTGTACATATTGTCATACTGTTTTCTCTCCTGCTATCATACAAATGAGACATGGTTACTACCGCCACACATGCACCATGTTGTAAGTTGGCAATGTTGCTTTCAGACTACTAGCACTTTTACCCGACCTCTTTCCAACAGCAGAGCAGGAAGAGTCCTAGAAGAGACCGTGAATTTGAATGCCATATTTGCTCAAAACATCAAGAAAGTAAAATTGAATGGTTTTACTGTAAATTAAGCTGGATGAAACCAAGCAATACTTGCCCTTCCATATTTATCTTCATGTCACTATGCTGACTTTCCAATGCACAAATTTTAATGTCTTTTGACCGAATTATTCTTCTTGTTTCGGCAACTTCTTTTTCTAATTGATTTATCTTTTCAGCTAGAATGCTGTCTTTATTTTTCAAATGTTTCAAGTGCAGTCAGGTTAAAGATAACAATTTAAACAATCAAACAAGCAGCCTGTCGGCTGAGATAGCTCCGCTGTTAGCAATGCACATGGCAATTAAAGAACAGAAGATATCATTAGAAAATGAACAAATCTGAGAGAGGTCCACATGTAGTACCTATATGTATAATATATCAAAGCAATTGGACTTGCGGTTTTCAACAAGAAGTCGAAAATATCACTTTTTACCAAAAATTACAAAAATATTCATCAAAATTAGAGAATTAAAGATATCATTATGAAATGAACAAATCTGAGAGAGGTCCACATGTAGTACCTATATATGTAATATCAAAGCAATTGGACTTGCGGTTTTCAACAAGAAGTCGAAAATATCACTTTTTACCAAAAATTACAAAAATATTCACCGAAATTAGAGAATTAAAGATATCATTA